GCTCTTCCCAGCCAACTAAAACAATGAAATGTCAATTCTATCACTAGCTACAAATCATTTGCTTTTTCTTGCTTGGAAGCTTCCCATCTGTTCAGTGATGGACACTGACAACAAATCTCAAAGCTGTTCAACACAGTGGACACAAAATCTTTTCTCTATTGCACAGCCACCAGCTATTTCTAGCTTTCATTGTTAGCAGCATGCCACAAAAAGTGGAAAAAAGTGGTATACCAATAAAAGTCCATTTACTGCTTTGAAAATCTAAGTAACAATTTAACATTGTTGTATGAATAAAATTAAACAAAATGTAATTTTCCACAAGATAACCTTCTCCACTCTCCTGATATTTCCTTTCTTAAGAGTGGGAAAGCTGAAATAAAAACTGCTAGAGGCCATTTCTGATAAGATGAAGTGACAGACAATCTTGGTTGTTTTCATAGAAAATATTAGCTCCTTTTCTCTTCCTTTTACTGAGTAACAAGGATTAAGGAAAACTCAAGCCTGTAATGAAGTAATATTTAACTCTATTTTAATGGCATCAGTAAGCCCTGCTTTATTGAGAATTTCCATTGACAGCCCTGCTCTCCCACAAAAATACAAAGGAAAATACTTTCCTCATTTCTACAAGGACACAGTGAGTGAAATATTCTTGCCACTTTGTAGTAAGGAGTGAATGGTAGGGATGACATTACAGTACCTTTCATAATGCTTCTGTATGTCTCGGTCACAATATATGTAAAACAATTAATAAGAAGAGTGGTTGTATATTTTGGTACTTCCTCTTTGCTGGTCAAAGCGCTCAAGATGACCCTGTACTGCTTGTGTCTGGCAGAAATCTGGCCAAATTCTCAATTTCAAACTGATTGCCAGTTCAGCATTTTCATTTCTTGATCTCTGTGACTGTGTTCACCAGATAAGAATACAATATTGTAATTCCACTGTTTTCTGCAGTTCTATTCCTAATCAGTTGGCTATGTTTGGTAACCAATCGTTCACCAAATTAAAAACTTCATTTTCCTGAAGGAGAAGAGACAAGCATACAGTCCAGTGATGGTGATCCAGGGTGTGCTGAGAGCTATTTTCTTGGTCCTGTATAGTTGACTAGAACAGGTCAGCTCCCTAGTGAGGGAGCTTTTTGACTGCAATAGCTCTCAAATCTGACTATGGGACAGAAGAATCACATAATCAATATACTAGTGGGGAAAGTACAATGTCTTTTGCACCATTAAAAAGAAATGAACACTGCCAAGCAGGCACACTCTAAAGTCTACTACTTTCCCTATAAAATCAGGAAAGACTGTGGTATAGCTGACAGCAAGATACCATCTTCCAGGTTTCCATAATCTGTGGTCAGAATGGGGAATAGACCCAGAAAATCAATTCCATCTCTAACTTGTCACTTCTTTCAATTCTTATACTCAAAAGTTTATTTGTTCAGTACAAAAAGAGATTTCTTCTGCATCATTTATTATTATAAAAAGAAAGAAATTAAGAAAAATTAACTAGCTAGGTAGGAGAAATTAAGTGTGGGCATAATAAACTTTTCACCTGGAAAATTACTGAAACACAACAAAGGAGACGGTGTCAATCTGGCTTTTACACTTTTGCTTTGAATTTGTCATTCAGAAACACTAATCTCTAAAGTAAACTGTAGACTATTAAGAAATTACATACATTTTATGACCTGTGGGTAGAAAAAGATGTTTCTCTCTCCAGTGTTAATGACTGGTTTAGTCTGGCCATCTGGCAGGAGACCAACATATATCCCTTTACTTTGCACTGATTCTAGACTTACAGATCCAGTTTCCAAATTCTTCTCAATTTTAAAGTGGCAGTATTCATCACCTGTGCCCTAGAAAATTGAAAACAGAAATGCAAATTCAACAATTGAATTAATAGTAGCTAGGCAAGTTGGGTGTTTCTTAAGAGCTGAATGTTACTAACTTCTAATAACATTTCAGATTAACTTTAGGCTCTTCACAATGTTCTACATTATTACACACACACACGTATATAGACGTATCTTGACCTTGCTTACTCCTTTGCAAACAGAAAGATTGATCACAATTTGAGTAAGCAAAAGACTGCATATGAAAGCATTCTGATTTCTGTTAGGATTTAAGCAAAATCTAGGATATAATCAAAGCATTTTCCCACTCAATCAGCTTATATCTTAATTATTCATTAGTGGGTTTTATCATCAATTTATTTTAGACTCAGTACCACTGAACATGTTTGTGCTCTGCCACATTCAAAACAATTATTTCATATCAAAAAACAAACACTGCATTAGTAAATATTGAGCCAAATGAGCAAATACTAATGTCTCGTTCTCTTTTTTACTCTCAAATGTAAAACTGCAATAATTAAACTCCTAGCAAGTGGAGAATGTTACAGGTCCAATAATCAGAATATTTCAACCATTCCCCAAGCCTAGTTTTATTACTAAATATACAGGCTACTGGGGAGGTATTCCAAGGATAAACTCTATGTGGTTGTCTCATGAAGAAAAAAAAAAAAAAAAAATCAGGTTCTTCATTTCAGACAAAACAGAGTAATTTGTAAAAGCAAGGATGTCAATATCACTTCAACATCTTCAAAACACACACCAGTATAACTGTGGTTGTTTAATAAAAATCAAATTAGCACAACTGAATCTTGATAGAGAGTCATCAGCTATCTAACAACAAATAAATTTAAACTAAGTTCACATTCTCAATAGTTTAAAAATATAATCAGAGCTTTACAATCAAGCGCCAAATAGAAATGATAGCTTCTCTTGCTATATTTCGCTGTCTTTCCTTGGGCAAATGAAGGAAAAGATCTGAAAAATTTTAAATCTTAATGTTTTATCCCATTTTTATCCAAGCAAGTAAAAAATATTCTCCGCTATCACTGACAATTTACAGAAGCTATCTGCAGAGGGAAATACAAACAAGAACTGCTTACTGTTCCATCACACTGGCCATCTTTGATCTTCAGATACATTCTTGGGTTTCTCACACTTTCAAACATGCATACTCCAGAG